AATAGTAGGTCATGCTAAAAGTGGGGCAGGGGCTGTGTGTCCCTGAGGAATATGCCATATGCCAAGAGCAGGTCATTACTGTAGAAATTGTAGAATTATTATTTTTTTCCTCTTTCATGAAACCACTTTCTAATTAATTTGCTAGTTAATAACTTCCCAAATCTGCCAGAATCTCTTCTGGAACCTGGTTTCAAGTTCCAGACCTAATCAAGATCTTCCTAACATGCATCACTAGAAATTTGGGGGGAGTCTCCATTTGGATGAAACAGAACAATATCATTTATTAGATTTAAAAGTTACTCACTGTTTTAGAATAATAGTTGGCTGAAAGTACTTGAAAGAAGTGAACATTTCATTGATACTTTGAAGGAGGATTTTTAAAGTATCTATTATCAGAAAACAGAGGTGCAATATCCAATGAAATAACCATCAGAAATAACAGATTTCTGCTCTGAAAATAAGATACTTGAGTTAATTAACTTTTGAAGATAATAAGAAAATTAGAAGTAACTAAAGGGGATAATTTGGTCTTTTTTTAAGTTAGCATTGTGGATGCTCTTTCTGTCATAAAATGTGCCTGCTAATCAGTGAAATGAATGGACTTTGTTAATCTTACCAAACATAAGAGTCCTAACTATTGTATTTCTGTACCGTTTAACAACTGTTCAGTATATCTGCATCAAATATTATGAATTAAGTTTTGGATTTCAACATGGAACAGTAATTTCAAAGATATTCATCAGTTATGGAAAGCTTATTTCACACTAAAGAAATACATATACCTACAGGCCTCTATCAGTCAGAATTCCAAAAGCCTTTCTATCTACAGTGTAGGTACAGTAAGTCAAATTCAGAACAGTAAGTACAAATAGAGACTGGAGAAGTAAGGCTGCTGAATTAGCTTCTGAAATCACAACAAATGGTTTTAATAAAATTAAAAATATCCTTTATCATCTAATCCACTGAACTTACAAAACAAGGAATAAGTTCAGTTTTCTAATTGACTTCACTAGTGCCTTTGTGACTAGGTGAAATAAAAAGACAGGAACACAGTTATTGCATTCCCAAAAGTTAAGCATTGCCATTGGGCTTCAATAAATTACTTAGCCACAGCTTACCCAGTAGTGATTTGATCGATTTGTTGGATGATTTTTTGCCACATTTCTTTTAAAATATACAACAATCTAAATTTCCCTTTTCTACAACTGACCAATTCTGGGACAGTATCTTCAAAAGTCACAGATTCTTTAAGTTATGGACTGGCTGTGGTTAACTAATGAATGAAACCGTATCTCTGGGTACACTGATGGGCCACTGTCCAGACACTGATCCAATCCTCTTTTAAAACAATTAGAGAGATCATAGTCAGACATATAGAACTTACTAAATCTAAACTAGAAACATACACAATATGATAGTTTATCATATTTAATTTGAACAGAAACTAAGGGGGATTATTTTCATTGAGATCTGTAAGTTTTACCACCATTATTAGAGGATGAAGGAGGAATGGGAAGACATACATCTTCAAAGTATTTTGCTTACTACATGTACATTTATTGCAAATTAAAAAGATAATCGCATAGTCATTTAAATGAAGACTAGAACATTAAACCAAAAAAACTCCTTAAATTTTTAATTAATATGCATTAAGCACTATATAAATACTGGAATACTTTCCAAATCTGCTAACTGTGTCTTTATTAATTTAATTCATTCTGGTTTTATTTATGAAGCACAATTTTGGAGTCTGGATTATTAGGTCTAGCTTCTGCAT